AAAAAAAAAAAAAAAAAAAAATCCGAAAAATCCAAAAACAACTATGTTATGCAGAAAAATAAGCTGAACAACTTTTTTTTTTTAATAAATTTTTTCCGTCAAAAACCGGGAAACGGGCCCGGCGTCCCTCACATAGATGCTGTAACCATCCGGGGCTAAGAAAGGCACTTCCGGCCAACCCTATCCCCAACTACAGCCATCCAGCTACCGAGACCCCACCCACCCCCAGTACTATCAAACCCCAGGCTACCAAGGAAATAACGGGGAAAACAATCATTACCTAAACACGAAAGAGAGAACTATCACCCTGCAGGGATCAAACCAACCATCACCCTGTAGGGGTCAAACCTATCCTGTGTAAGTTTCCACATAGTCCTTGGCATAGTGGATATCTCACTTCACGCATCACAGAAGTCTACAGCACTCAATATTCACGTGGTAATCCTATCATACAATCCTTAAACAGTCGATACCACAGGCAATAATCGTTCGTGACATCAATAAGGAAACATCCGTAATATAGTGTCAATTTTCACTTCAGTCAGAGTTCAACTATCTATGGAGCAGAAACAGCCACACGAAGTCTCACACCATGCCCTAAATAGCAAAACTGAGCCGCAGAATTCCTAAAAGAAGGTAGAGACCTTCCCAAAACGACAGAACCGGGGCGGCGTCAGGCCTCATCATCCCAGGTGATCCCCGCCACGTCCTCTATTGTCGTACAGGCAAAAGCAAAAACAGCGACACCAATTCCTCATCCACTCGTAATTCAGATATTGTAATAGTCCCTAGCACTAATGATGAATTATCCCCAAAACAGTGTCAAGTTTCAATTTACCCTAAATTATCTCCGAACCGAAACTATCTGCAGAGCAAGGCCAGGTTCACCTAAGCAAATAGAGGTCACCCCAAAACGACAGACCTAATGAGGGGGCAGCATCCGGCCCATCATTCCAGGTGATCCCCGCAAGGTGGAAGAAGTCAAAACCCATGCCCTATGTCAGCAAAGCTCCACAGCAGTCTTCNGGGGCAGCATCCGGCCCATCATTCCAGGTGATCCCCGCAAGGTGGAAGAAGTCAAAACCCATGCCCTATGTCAGCAAAGCTCCACAGCAGTCTTCACCTAAGCAAAAGAGGTCACCCCAAAACAACAGACCTAACGAGGGGCAGCATCCGGCCCATCATTCCAGGTGATCCCCGCAAGGTGGGAGAAAGTCAACACCGACAACCGAACCACTGAAGTGGGAGAAAGTCAACACCGACAACCTAACTACTGAAATCGATCCAGAATTCGGAAACGAGAAACAGAAAGACGACAATCAGAAGACAAAGACCAGCGAATGAAAATCCGGGGAGTAATATTTGGAAATGGAAAATGGAAATGAAGACGGAAACGGCAACGAGATCGTAAGAGGACAATGACAACAAGAAGGAATTAAAGGCCGGCAATAGCGGCACATGGGAAGTGGAGAAGGCGGTGCAGATGAAAACGACGCTGACAGCAGTATTAAAACTCGGAAAATAGTCCCTGTGATAGCGACATGCATCTCACTCGTCGTCTTTGATGATGAAAAGGATAACGATGGTCAGTCTATTCTTCTTCCGCAGGATGACACGAAAGATTTCCCCGTACGCGAGTCGACATTTGGCTACTCACTGCCGTAGATAAAGCAGTAGCCAGAAAGTCCCCACAGCGTAGCAACGGCAAACCTTGATGGGGTGATCATCCCTCCACCGACAGCATCACCTAACCGAAGCTGACGCAGCAGAACTCATAAAGTCTGACGCAGCAGCACTCATGAAGTCTCCATATCTGTGACCAAGGCAAACGCCCTGACCTGTTGATAATACTGCGCCAACGCGCTAGCGCTGCGTTAGCGCGTTGCGTTAGGCTGCGCTAATTTTTTTAACACTACGGATGCTGGGTGTATCGAGGGGAGGGTGACGCCCCTGCGACCGAATAGCGTCGTCGCGTACCACTCATGGCCCCTCCTCCTTGCCAGGTAAGCTGAACAACTTTTGCCTCGGGGTCACATTGAAATTCTTTACCAAATTTAAAATAAAAGTTTCAATTGATTTTTTTTTTATTTTTTTTTTTTTGGCCCGGTCAGGCAAGTGGAACCGGGCCACTCTGGTAGGTTGATAACAGACAAGGTGATGTATATCACACGTGCATGGCATGCAAGTACACACACACGCACAGAGTTCGACACTTTCCAGACACAAAGTCCAAAAAATCGAATGATATTGCTCGGTAAAAAACTCGCAACCCGGCGGGTATCGGCACCCCGACCGGTTTCAACCGCCGCCACGCGGTCTCATCCGGGGGAACTCCACCTTCGTCAACACCCTTGTACTAATCCTACTACCCACCAACCCACCTCCGCTGTTGCCCTGCGACACTCTGGTAGCCTAGATATATTATTATTATGTTTGTTTTGGCCTGGCCAGGCAAGTGGTCCCGGGCTACTCTGGTACCCTACAAAATGATTTTAATTCTAGGAAACTTTTATGTTGATGTCCGTGGCGGTGCCACGAGTGTGAAAGTAGGGTAATTCGCTTCCCCTGGTTGTTTACATATGATCTTTTGAGTGAAGATTGATTTTTGCGACGACGCCGTTTCTTTTCTCTAATCGTGTGGACCTTTCCTTGCATGAGCTCTACGAATATGTATGTGTATGACTATCTCTTATGTATGGTCCATTCTCTTGCTTCAAAATAAGAAGATAGTGTGGTTTTGGTTGATGCATGAATGGATGGATGTGTATACACCACACTCTTGTTACACTCCGCGGATTCCGTTGCACGAGGCATGGAACGAACTATCATTCTTTGGACTCGGAGGCAGATAAGTGTTCCTTCTTTGGTGATCATATCATTTCGAGTTCTTTAAACTTATGTTTTCGGTCAGCATGCAGACTTGATGC